CTTCCCACTCTAGGGCTGGGAAACATGAGCTCAGGGTGAGGCCATTTCTCCTGTGGAGGCGGGAAGTGACCCAGAAGACACATAATGAATAGTTTATGCTCTGTTAACCATAAGTCCCTGATAATATGACATTATCCACCCCATCCCACCCTTCCTGCCGTGGTCTGTGCTGCTCCTGTGCTTTCCATCACTCACTGTCCCCTTTATTCCCCCAGAGCCCAGTGGTGGGAGTGTGGGAGTCTGGGGGTGGCCTGGTGGGAACGGGGGCAGAGGACGTGACCACTGGAGCACACCTGGTGTATTTTGTCACTTAAAATTGCTGTTGACTCCATCATGTATTCAGAGGTCTAATCCAAAGGTGTTTAGATGGCGTGGGTTTCAGAAGTCAGGTAACGAAGACACTATGGGGTGATTTTGGTGGAGCTGGGAAAGATCCTGTCTCCAATATGTGTGCAGAGCAAGGGCACGTGCAATTAGTGCCACCAACAAACGAGGTGAGGTCTTACTCGAGACAAGGGTAGGAAGCAGTAAGCAAGCCGGGCTTTCAAACTGGCCAGAGGCGGACTTTGCTGTGGCTCAGAGTGGCTCTGCCCTGGAGAAACGTGAATTCCTTGTACGGGTTGCCGGCTTCCTAAGAGTCCCCTCCTGCCCCAGGCTTTGGGATTGGGGCAGTAGGTTGTGTTTTATGGTGACAAGCAGAAACAAAACGAAGGGTTTTGCTCCTTCTGGAAGATCTGAGCAGCTCCACGGAGCTGCTGCAGCCTCTCAGATGTGACCGCTGGGCGTTGGAAGCTCAGTGACTGGGTGGTGGAGATAACACTGGGACCTGCTCGCTGGGACAACCTGTGGGCTGATCCAGCTGCAGGTGAGTCCGTCAGCTCCCTGTGGCAGCCGGCATTGGTCCGCAAAGGAGAGGCCAGCACCTGCAGCGTTTCCCAAGCCTCTCGGGCTGCGCCACGTTTGCTTCCACGCGGCTTCATAAGGAGAAGGTGCAGAAGCTTTCTCTGCTCCTTCCAGTCTCTCCCCTCAGTGCAGACTTTGCTATGGCTGGCCTGAATGTCTCCATTGCTTTTTTTTTCCTGGTTGTTGGGGTGTGCCAGGCACTCAGGCGGCTTTCCAAGAGGCTTCTGTCTCCTGGAGTGTACGGCTGCCTTGCCAGAGAACTCGCTGGCTCGTTACAGTTGTGCACGAGCTGCCTGGAGCTGAGGATGCTGTTGGAGATTGGCCCGTGGGGTGGTGGCTTTGGCCCAGACGTGGTCCTGACTCTGCTCTTCCTCCTCTTTGCTCTTCACGTTGCCTCTTTCGATGGAGCATCTGCCAACCCAGCCGTCTCTCTCCAGGAGTTCCTGCTCCTCGAGTCCAACCTCGCCACAACGGCTGCCAAGCTGCTGGCCCAGGGTGCAGGCATGGGGACAGGCTGGGCTGTCACCAAGCTCTACTGGTCTTGGGAGCTGACGCATTTCCACCTCATCCAGAACCTGATAGCGTCTGAGTGCAGCTCCTCCATCCGCACGTCCCTGCACCACGCTGCCTTTGTGGAAGGCATCTGCTCTTTCCTCTTCCACCTTGTCCTTCTCAAGTTGCGCCAGAATCACCCAATCTACCGGGTCCCTGTGCTGGCGGCGACTGTCACCTTCCTGACCTACACAGGTGAGCAGCACCTGCATTTCTTTTTCTAAGTCATTTAGAAAAAATACCTAATTTGTGGGGATTTAACAGTCCCTTTTTCATCTTCCAGGACTTGAGAGGTAACAATTACCAAGACATTTGTTTTTTATGTATTTTGGGGAATATTCATTGTGGGATGAAGACAGCAGTTTAGGGTATCTCGGCATAGATATCCAAAGATATCTAAGGTATGCCTAGATAGAGGTTATCTAAGGATATCGAGGCTATTTAGGATAGCTTGCCCCAAAACTGGGAGCACTTTCCTTCAACGTCCCCTAACGCAAGGCCTTGGTCCCGCGCTGAGCTCTTCTGCTTCCGGCAAAGCTCGAGGTGACACGGGTGGGATTTTCCCATATGCGGTTGTTACACAGTCCGAGAGATGCTGCTGCGGGAGCTGGGCAGCAGCAGAGATGCTCCCGGCAGGCAGGAGGGATCGTAGGTCTCCTGGTCCAGCTCTTTGTCTGTCTTTCCATGGATGCAAACGAGACTGATGGCCACACTTTTCTTCCCATGCAGCCGAACCATTCACGGGGGCCTTCTTCAACCCTGCCCTGGCCACCGTCACCACCTTCCACTGCTCGGGGAACAGCTTTTGGGACTACGTCCAGGTTTACTGGCTGGGGCCCCTCTCAGGTGAGATCTGCCTGGGAGGTACTGGGGGACGGGGGTTGAGATGGGGGGAAATCATAGAATCAGAGAATGGTTTAGGTTGGAAGCGACCTTGAAGACCATCTAGTTCAAACCCCTCTGCCCTGGGCAGGGACACCTCCCACCAGCCCAGGTTGCTCCAAGCCCTGTCCAACCTGGCCTTGAACACCTCCAGGGATGGGGCAGCCACAGCTTCTCTGGGCAACCTGCGCCAGGGGCTCACCACCTTCACAGTCAACAATTTCTTCCTAAGATCTCATCTAAATCTCCCCTCTTCCAATCTGAAGCCATTCCCCCTCGTCCTATCACATGGGCATGGCAGAAATGCTGGACGTAACGCAAACCATGCCTGGAAAAGGGCTCAACTTGCATGGTGCCCATGGCAAGTGTCCTTTTCTGTCCCCCTTCCCTGTCACTTATCCCTTTGCTATCCATTTTTCTAAATACAATTTCTGTGTGGGACATAGGCAAAACTGCCCAAGGCCAAAGTCTGGGGGAGATGAAGCAAAGATGTTTTAGGGCAACGGTAGGCTGAGCTATGCTATTGGGGTCGTCCACAGTTTCAGGATGACCACGGGGAGCTGGACATGTGCTGCCTTGAATGCCGAGAGCGGGGAAAGGAGACTGCTGGTGTGATTTATGGCCCTTTTGGGTCAAAACAAGCCTCGCTATTATATTAAGGGCACAATGGTTAAATTCTCATTAAAGTAATATAGCAAGGCTCTTTTAGATACTGTCAGCGAGGACGTCAGTGGTGCTGAGCTATGTTTTGGTCACGAGGAAGGTTGTGGCAAGGGCCTGAAAAATCACTGCTCATCCGTGGAGATGCTTGGCGCAGCCCACGGAAGGGGTCTGTGCTCTCATTTCAGGGATGCTCGCTGCCCTCCTGCTGTACCAAGGCAACGTCCCACGCCTCTTCCAGAAAAACCTCCTCTACAGCCAGAAGAGCAAATACAAGATCCCCAAGGCGAGGGTGGCGGCGCCCATGGAGGGTGACGAACTGCGTCGGAAGAGGAAAGGGGAGAAGAGCAACTCAGAGCCTCGTGCCTGAGCCGCGGATGGGGGGAAGGAGATCCCTGCAGCCCCTCTCCTGGGAGCGGCTTTCCTGGCGTGGACGATTTTGCTGCTCCTCCAGCCCAGCATCCATCCTGCCCCTTCAGTCCCTACCGCAGGGTGAGAGATATAAATATATATATATTTTTTTTTTTTCTTTTTTAAAGCATCACAAAGGAATCACCCAAGCTGGCCTTGCAGGATGTCTGAAACCCTGAACTCCTTTGGGAATGGCTCTCAAAGTCTCCCTGGAGAGTCGGAAAATGTATCAAGCCTGCATCACTAGCTCGGTCAGGGGGAAAAAAAACCCCAACCTAATACTTTTGCATAAATTGCTGGTTGCCTTGTATTGCCAGGAAGCTTACAGAAAGTCAGGGCTATTACGTGGGTTGGCTTGAGCAACTCCCAGGTTATTGCACCGCGCAACGCTTGAAATAATCCGACTGGGTCTCTTGCAGCCGTAAAAAGCGTAAACCAGTAACTGCCTTGGAAACCAGGGATGAGGAGGAAGCAGGCTTTGATCTTTCCAGTTACTAAATGGATATTGGTCAAAAATTGGTGTTCTTCGAGTTAAACTGAGGTCCAGCTCAAGCTGAACCTGGCAGTTCTTGGAGAGGGATTACAAATGCTCCAGGGCAAAGGGGGTTCGCTGGCTGCGGGAGACGCGGCTCAGCTGCGGACGCGGTGCTTAGCCTGGGTGTCCTGTGCTGTAAAGCATCGAGAAACAGTGCACAGAGTGTCTGTGGCTAAAAAAAAAAACGGGACCCGGGCAGCCAGCGGGGGTGAGCAAGTGCATCCCCGGGTTCCTCTCCACATCTACGTGAAATATTCCTAAAGATAAAGTTACGGTTGGTGGAAATAATAATAAAAATAAATGTTGTGATCGGCATTTACGTGAGTGCTGTCGTTCCTCTGAGCTCTGTGGTGGGGGGAAATCAGCCCATGTGATTCCTGAAAATGGGAGAAGCCGTGGCGATGTCTGAACTGACTCTGCCCTGCTTGCTGCTTGCTCTGGAAGGGGGGCAGTTTGGGTGGAAATGCCTGCTAAGGGTAAACGGGGCTCCCCCAGGCAATGCTGGGGTGCCCCACGGGTGCTGCACCCCCGGGATCTCTCCATGCGGAAGAGCAGGGGCTGGGGCAACCCCACGCACAGCATCACTGGAGCAGGGCTGGATATGGAGCTGCTGCCCAGAGATCTCCCCTGTCCCTGCCAAAAACGGCCCCTTCCTTCATTTTGCAGCAAATACTCATTTTTGCAGGATCTCTCTGGGCGGCAAATTCCTGAGCGGAATATATTCTTGATGCACTACAGCTTTTCAGAGCAATCGCGAGGTGTGTGCTCTGGGACAGGCTGCGCTTCTCATGCGATGCTCTGGTAGTACAGGTGTCCCTGCCCTGCATCACCTCGGCAGGAGCCAGAGCAGAGAAGATCCGCTCCTACTTGCTGAGTTGCAAATGGCAAATAAGGACATGGTACCTGATTAAAATCCCGAGGGAAAGTGTAAGATGCAGGTTTGGTACCTGGAGGTGCAATCCTCCCTGCCCTGGGGACCAGCCTTGCTCCTCCCCGCAACCCCACCGTGTCCCCTGTGGGATTTTGGGGCATGCCCTCGTCTATGCTGCCTGTGGGCTGCCCATCTCCCTTGCTGCCATGCGGGATTGCCCTCTGGGGTGATGCAGAGACCACCTGGAGGGCAAGCTGGACCTCTGCAAACCACGAGACCACGCCACGTCCCAACAGGAGAAATGAGGGAAGGGAGCGACACAGCGATACGTGGCCATGCCTCAGGGGTGAAACTTTATAGAACAAACGGCGCCTCAAAAACCAGGCAGCAAACGCCCCCAAGAAAGCGATGTCCCGGCATCACGCCTGGCTTGTGCCTGTTCCCTTGCAGGGGAAGGGGGGTGGGAACGCAGTCTGGGTTTTATCCCGGTTAAAGCTGTGAGCAGGAGATGGGGCACCTTCGGGTGGAAACCAAAACCTTGGAGGCTCTGCGTGGCTGGCCAAGGAGAGCCCAGGATGCTTGGATCTCCCAGCAATTTTTCGTGAGCCTCTTTTGGTTTGGAAATCGCACTGAAAACCCTCCGCTGGGGCCTCTGTTTATCCAAACTGATTTGCTGGCTCTGCTTTTGATTTGAGGATAAGTGTAGGATGTGAAAAGTGAGGTTGACTAGCCCACCACAACCCGTTCTTGTGGTATTTTTTCCCCCAGGCGGAGCGTCGAATGTTCCTACAGCCGCTCCAAGGCTGGGCTGGGACGCCCGGCTGCGGAGATGCTCACGAGACTGCCCTCGGCCCTGTGGGCATTTAACTCGCTGTCTGACACTGAGATGTCGGCGTCAGCTCTGGGGTAGGAGCCAGTCCTGTACATGCAGCGTATGAGCGCAGCACCCGAAGGACACGTGTGTAACCACAGAATCAAGGGGGGAAAAAAAAAAAAGTTGATTTTTTTTTTCTTTGGGTCTTTTTTTTTTTTCCCCCAGTACATTTTCGGATGTTTGAGGTCTGTTTCTTGGGCTGCTGGGGGAGGTTGTCTACGGGGCAGACTGACGTAATTAAGGGGGACGGTGAATATTGTTATTTTTAATTCAGAGACTGCTTTTCTAGCACGGTAGCATTAAGGTGCAGCGGAGGAGAGCCGCAGCTGAACAGACTGACTGCAAATCAAGCTCTGCCGCTCTGATTTACGGCTTGGCCCCGCGCCGTCGCAAGCTCCGGCTGGTGGGAGGGCAGCGACATGGTTCCCAGCTGGAACCCATCTACCTGCGGTACCCAGCGCGGTGCTGAGGACTCGGGCTGCCCTCCTGCTTGTCCTCCTCGCTGCTGAAGTCAGTGCTACGCAGCACGAAGCCCCAGATGGCCTCCTCCAAGGCTTCGGCTGCCAGACAGGACCTACCCTGGAAGCATCGTGTGGTGTCGAGCCCCCAGGACCCCCCTGTTGCAGCCCGTCCTGCTCTGCAGAGATGGCAGCTTGTAGCACCCAAAGAGCTTGTGCGTGGTCCTGCACAAGACAGAGGTGGCCAGAGGCTCTCGTGGGCAGCAGCGGCCCAACCTGCCCGGGGAAGAAGCAGCTGCTGAGCCCAGGAGGGTAGCGCCTCACGGTCCTCAGCACAGGCAGCTGGAGAACGATGCCTGGAGGGGGGCAAGGAGGCTCAGCCTTGGGTGCCCTCCAGCCTGTGCTGCAGGGCATCGCCCTGCTGAGAGGGCTGGTGGGTCTCGGGGGACTTCTGGGCAAACTGCTTCTTGTAGAGAGCGCTGCTGTACTGCAGCTCTGGGGTCACCAGCCGCCGGCACATGCGCTCTGTCTCCTTGTCCAAGCCCTGCTTGAGGTTATAGCCCAAGATCTTTGCACTGCCGTGCTGCAGCGGCCTCAGGGAAGAGTCCTTGATGTGCTTTGGGGCCACGCTGCCCGTCCCTTGCAGGCAGGTCCTCGCCAGCTCTCCCTGCCTCTCCCGAAGTACCTTTACTTCCCGCTGCATGCGCTCCCTGCCAATGTCTCGGTCAATCCTTTCCCAGAAGGTCCTGTTGAAGTGGGTGTAGATTTCCCAGTCCAGCCTGTTCCAGTCCTTTATCTTTTCCACGATGGTGTCTGAGAGCAGGGACTTGGTGCTGCTGTCCCTGATGTTGAGCGGGAAGGAGACGACGCTGTCCAGGTCCCAGCACAGCATCTCCTTCAGCAGCACCATGGACTCATCGAAGTACTCCGAGATGAGAAGCAAGTCGAAGGACGCCTCGATGGCCTTCAGCATGAGTTGCACCCGCTCGGCTGAGACATCTCCGTCAGGGTTGAAGCCAAAGTCGAACGTCATGAGGTTCCTGGCGTAGTGGCTGTCACCGTCTGCGGGGTTGTAGTAGTGGTAGGGCTGGCTGAGGAACTCCTCCAGGCTGTGGGCGCGGGAGAAAGCCGATGTGCCCTTGTAGTACGCGAAGGAGGACTCCATGAGCTTCACGGGGTTCCTCAGGATGGAGAAATAGAATGCTGAGCTGGACACCACTTTATGCACCTGCAGAGGAGAAAAAGGAGGTTTTAAAGGTGGGGTAGGGAGAAGGGACCTGCTCACTCGCAATCCTGTGCTCTGCTGGAAAGCAGAAATGCTCGCTGGGTTTGGAGATGGTGGGTGCTGGGGAGGTTTTCAGGGTGCAGCTCATCAAAGGAGCCTTTATGTCAGCTGTAGGGAGCCCCAGAAGAGGTCACAGAGTGACCAAAGTTCCCTGCCACAGCTGGGTGGCCTGTCCGGGCTTGAGATACGTCCTATTTCCTTGCCAGATCTGCGTGTCCTCAAGTGGCACCCAGAAGGGTGGATGCTGGGCATGGCTGACCTCAGCTGATGCGCTTAAGGCATTCTCCTCTTGCAGCTGGTACCTTCTGGGCCTGTCCAGGGAGCAAGACATCTCCAAGGGCCCACCAGGCTAAAACGAGATGATAGTTGCTGACTGCTACAGATGTTGTCCCTTGGCTTGTCTCAGGTCACAACACAATGATTCATCAAACCATCATTTACAGAAGCTCTCAGGAGATGCCCATAACACGCAAGGTACCCGGGGGCATAGCTTCAGCCCTGAAGAGTTTACATGCTCTGCAGGTGTCCCAACTTGCTCCCCACGAGCCCCTCTCTCCCTCCCCTGTTCGCCCTTCCCAAGGCATGGTGGCTTTGCCTGTACCTCCGGCTGCAGGAATCGCATGTGGTGGCAGAGGATGTTGAACCGCTGAGGGCTCCTGGGGGAGAAGCCCTGCACAAACTTCGCCAAGAAGTGGCGTGGGTAGAAGAGCTGGTTGCCACCCCCGATGGGGAAGGCGAAGGTGAGGTTGTGCGTCTCGCCGAAGCGGAAGAGGATGTTCATGACGGTGCTGCTGGCACTCTTGTGGACTTTGAGGAAAACAATGTCAGTCTTGGGCTCACATGTCTCCCCTTGAGAGGAGACCCCTCTGGCCTGCTGGCCTTCTCCAAGAGTCACCTTGTCACCCTTGGAGACTTCTGTCCAGCTTGGGAAAAATCCTCTCTCTGGGTCTGTGTTGTAAAAGTCCTCTGCTTGTGGAGGTTGAGCTGAGTTTGGCAAGGAGCTGCCCCACCGATGGTGGGGGGAACCTGTGGCTTGAGGCTGATACTGGCTCTGTACCACCACCTGCCTCATTCCTGGTGGTGATGTTCTCCTGTGTTCCTCTGTGGTCATCCTGTTTGCAAAGATTGTGAACTTGCTGGTGATAGCATCAGCGTCTCCCAAAACTCCAGAGATCCTCCCAGAAAGACTTGGAGAAGGACCCTCTCTGATTGCTTTTCTCAGGCCAGGAAGCTGGGATTTCAGCCTCGTGGATGAGGGATGGGCTTCCACCTTCTTGCTGCCCTCCAAAGATGTCCAGTGCTCCTCTTGCCTGCCTGGGCTGCTTTCCTGCGGGGTCTCCTGGCTGAAGTACAGATGCATCTGAAAAACATCCTGCACGCCCTCAGTCGAAGTGGGGTCCGGCATGGCTTTCCTCTGCCAGTGCGGGGAATCATCTTCCCACAGCAGGTTGGGGGTCTGGAGGGCATAGCTGAGCCTCTTCTGGCTGTGGTCCGTGGTCTGCTGCAGGGCACGCTCCAGCTCACACCGGCAGTTTCTGTAACAGGGAGGACATGAGACTCAGGTGTAAATGGGCAGAGGATGGAAGGGGTGTGCAAAGAGGGCAGCTCCTCTGCAGCTCAATGAAGCCCTCCCTGCAGACACCCCAAAACAAGTTCCCCCATCTTTCTTGGGGTGAGTGGCATTGCTGGTGAGCATAGGACTTGGCCACTGCCCTGTGGGAGGTCGGGGTGAGTGCAAGAAAAGAAGGAGATGTCAGCAGTAATGTGCTGGTGTCCCTGTCCCCCTGGAGCATGGTGGGCTGGTGGAAAGCCACAAAGCAAAAGAAGGCGAGGAGAGAGAAGAATAGGTGACCTGGAGAAGCTGGAGGAAAGTTTGCAGAGTACCCCAGACTGAGAGGACGCTCATGGGCTGTAGGGTTTTGAGACCAGCTGGGACAAAGCCCAGAGCAGCCTGGTTTGGACGCAGAGTGGGCTCAGCTCTGGCCAGGGCATAGGGGTTGGATGTGAGGGCCCTGGAGGGGTCCTCTCCCACCTGGATTCTCCTCCCTGTCTAAAGACGACACTGTTGGGTGGTTTTCAGGAGGACAGTTTTGAGCCAACCTCGGTGGTCAGCGAAAGGCTGGAGGATGAGGTGCAGGTTTGCAATCCTGCTGGGGACCTACCTGGGAGGCTGCAGCTTCTCCGCGAATTGAAGCGTGACCAAGAGGAGGATGAGGAGGCTGAAGAAGATCCAGAGCCGACCTGGCTGGCACCTGTATATTGCATTCAACTTCCTGCAAGGAAGAAGACAGTTCAGACCATTAGTAGGCAGAAGAAATGTACGTGTGTGTGATGCAGAGGGGAAAGAGGCCTTGAGACTTTGTTTAATCTTTTTTTATTATTATTTTTTTTTAAAGTAAGATCACGTTTTCAGGGGTGAAAGAGGTGCAGAGGCAGCGATAACCAACGAACCTCTGAGGCTGTGTGCTTGAGCGGTGTAGCCTCGTGGAAATTTCCAGCCAGGACACAAATATCGCACCGAAAGGTAAACAGTGATAACCGAAAAGTCCCTTGGCTGCTCAGGGACGCCTCACCAGCACCGCTGCAGCTCCTTCTTCAGCAGCAGGAGCAGGCACCACTCGCATTTGCCCTGCCCTGCCTACCCTGGAAATATCGGGACCCTATCTTTATAAATAGAGACAATAAATCTTTGTTTTCCCTGCTCTCCCCTTATCTTGACACCTGCCGTTGGAGGTGGTTGCACAGGCTCCAGCTGTGGCTGCAGATGTGGTGCTACCGTGGGGACACCGGCTATGCTGGTCTGGTGCGCAACCTGGCTTTTAGTCTGGTCTTAGCCAAGTCTACAACAGCAGCGTGATTTCAAGTCATCGGCACTACGCTATGGGGTTTTGGGTTGTGCGTGGGGACATTCAGACCATGATAAATGTTGCCATGGGGCTTTTGCTGTTTGTAGGGCTGGCTACAAACTGTGGTGGAGCTTGATCGTAGTCTTTCATCTCAAGCGGAGCAGTCCAGGGACTAAGCTTCCTGGGAAGAAGGATTAGTTTGCATCTCATTTCTGCTGGTTTCTACCCAGGGAACCTACCGATGCCTAACAGGAGATGATTTGTATTGAGAATCTGGTTGAATCCTCTATTGTGGGCTCCTTCTTGGGTGGGAGCCCAGCCTGCAAGCCCCAGGTATCTGCTCTCCATCTCTCAGAGGGAGGGAGCAGGTACAGGCCGCGTTGCTGAGCATGAAACGAAGGGATCTCAATAGGAAGAATTAAGGAAAGCAGAAATTTGGGCAGTCCTTGCTTGGAAACCAAGCTCTGACAGGTGATGTTTGTTGATGTTGTCCGCTTCCTTCCACGGACAGTTTTGGACCAAGAGAGTGGGCCTGGAACCTCACAGACCTGCTCGTCCCAGAGCTTCTTTGCCTCCTTGGTGCTTTATCTCCTACTCCAGGCACTCTTGTGACATGTGGGTGACGTCCTAGCCTGATGAGCTGGCAATGACGCAAACATGGGCCGTCCAAAGTGGTCACGTGCATCCCATTGGTGCTGGTGAGCAATTTTGGCTTGCTATTGAAAAAACTGGACTTGCTCCAGAAAAAACACCGTTGACTGGGCGTTACGACAAACTGTAGTTTCCTTATTACAGCACTGCTTCCAGTGGTTGTGGATTGGTTTGGACACTCATGGTTTCCACACATTGGTTCTGCCAATAATGTCCCACACTGAATTGAAACTCTAAGCTCCTTCTGGGAGACTTTTGGTATCTAAAGTACTCAGGACTGTAAAGGCTGGGAGGTCTTTGGTCACGATGGTGCTGCTGAGGATTCAAAAGGCACGTACTTGTTAGCACGGTGAACAAGCTGGTTGTCAGCTGCACAGCATCCCCAAAACCTGATGGCAACCACGCTCATCTTCCACTTGAGGAGCAGACTGCCAGGCTTGGCTGGCAAACGTGCACGTGGCTCGCTGCCTGGTCGAGCAAGCAGCACAAGGAGAGCCTCGTGCTGTCAAAGATAAATGGGTATGGCGAGCAACGGATCAGAAAAATGCCAAATGCTTAAACAGTGCTTAAAATGCCGAAACCCGTTAAAGGGAGAGGGTTGAAGCAGAGACTCGGGGCGGCCCCAGAGCTGCTGCAAGGGAAGGCTTGTTCAAACACCCCGGTGTGGAAGATCATTGATGGCCAGAGAGACCAAAGAGGGAGAAGGCAGTGAAGGAGGAGTTGCTCCAGGATGAAGCGATGCTGCTGGACGGATCTTGCTGGAGACCTGGTGCAACTCTCCGATCACTCAAGGTGCGGCTGATGAGGAGCTCGTCTGCCTGGCCAGCCTACGAAAAGCGGCAAGAAGGGAATGAAGAGCGAACGCACTGTGGCATTTAGCGATATACCCAAACTCCCTCTTTGGAGAGACAGCACCCAGTAGCAAAGGCAGAACGATGCAACACTTGCCCAGCAAGCAGTGCTGAGGTAGGCAGCGCTCTCCGTTAGCCTGGTATCTGTATTTTGTGTAGGTATAATTCTGGATTTGCTTCCACAGAGGTCCCTGGTCAGTGCTAAACTTTCAGCTTGTAGAGAATCTGTGAAAGATTGAGATCCTTTTGCTGCCAGTCTGCCGCCTCTTTGAGATGACCATGGAACACCGCAACACGTTGCTGGCTGCTTGGGTCTGACCAGGCTAGCATAAAGCCAGAGCCCTTCCTCCAAGCTGGCCCTGGTGGGACACATGTACCAAGGAGGGTGTGCTGAGACAGGGAGAGCTGTGGCAGCAGGGAAGTTTGCACTGAAGATGCTAAGAAGTTGCACCGAAGGCAGCAAACCCTGGATAAAATGGCATATGGCACACGAGAAGCCTTTGCCCTGGAGGCTGGAGCAGCTGGACCATTTGTAGCTGGACAACGAGCCTTCAAGAGGCTCGACTGCTTTCCATGGGTAACTCCTTCACAGCCTTCTCTCAGTTTCACGTGCCAGGATGAGCTCCCGGGCATAGGTGTCTTGGGGCAGAATTAGATACTTGAGATCAAAGCACCAGGAAGATGTCCGAGATGTGCACGCGGAGCTGGCGGGAGTCAGCGCTGGCCCAGAGGGCAGCTCAGGCTGCAAGAACAACCTGCAAAGTCTTTGGAAATGCCTCCGGCTGCGGGCAGGCTGCGGCTGAAGAGCTCCCGTGGGTGGGAGCCCACATGCTGTCACCTCCAGAAGTGACAAAGCAGAGTGCAGAGGTGGATGCGGCACCCCAAAGACACTGCGAGGGCTCAGCAGCAGAGCCACAGCAGCTGAATCCTCCTGCGCCGGCTCAATGGATTTAATAAAAAACTGAACCGTCGGTCATTTATTCGCAAGGGATGATGTCCCCCGCCGTGTCTTGCTGTCTGCTCCTGGCAGGGGAGGGGGTGCCACTGGCAAGCAGGCGCTGCCGGATTGCGGCAGCATGGCAGATTTCCCCTCCGTTTGTGTTTTTTTCCCCCGCCCCCTCTCTGCTTGAAGCAGAGAGGATGACCTGCTGCCCTCCGAGCTGTGCCCCTTCCCTGCCCAGCGCCGGCTGGGATGGGTCTGCGGTCGACGCTCATCCGTGCGTGGTCCCAACGGACCCGTGGGTGCTGCGGGAGGTGGCCGTGGCTGGGTTCAGCGGGCAGGCGGGTGGCAGAAAATGACTGCTTTGATTTGCCGTGGCCAGATACGCTCCAGGCAGCGAGCGATGGTGCATGGGGAATTAATGTACACAATACACGCGCCAGCGATAGCCTGGTTCCTCTGAGCAGCGATTGGAGCCATTTTCTTTACTTGCATCACGATAAATGACAGAATGGTGACAACGGTCTGCAGGAGGCTCAGGAGAAGGTGAGGTAGCGCAGGAAGGGCAAACCGGTGCCCAACCTACTCGTGAAACTACTGGGTTAGGAAAGCCTCCAGGTTCCCCCCACGCCGCAGCTTGGTGTGCAATGCCCCAGATGCCACAGGCGCGTGGGAAAAGGCTGTCCTGCCCCAAAATGCTCTGCCCCAGCAAGAGGGATCTGCTGTGAAGTCAAGCCTTGCCCTTCTCTGCTCCTCATCCATCCTCTCCAATGCAGAGGCTGCGGAAGAGTGCACCTCACCCTACAGGAGGAGCCACGTTTCTGCTCCGTGCCCACTCTGCGGGTGAGCGTGCAGCACCGAGCGCAGCGAGCCCTCGCCTGGGGTGATGCAGGAGGGATCAGCACCCTACTTGCCTCACCAGCGTCTTTGCTGCTCTTCTTCTTTTGCTGTACAGGACCTGACAAAAGATGCTGTTTTCCTGCCTGTCGTACCGGGGAGAAGTGCTGCCCTTGGGGCTTTGCAAGAAGAGAGCGCCCCATCAACCCCGACCTCCCGGCATTTTCACGCAGCAGAAGCGCTCCTCTGCCCATTCCCGGCACCACTTCCATTTCCCAACACCGAGGGACCCACAAGGGCAAGACGTCTGAGTAGGATGGAAATACTATTTTACTTAAGGAAATAGTGTTTTACTTAAATAAATAAATAAATGAATAATCCACTTACGTGATCAAATACCTCCTGATTTTCAGCATGGTGAGCTGGAACCTTGGCTGGGGAGCGGGTGGCTATCGGCAGACTGGGAGAGTGGAAAGCAAACACCCGCAGCCCGGTTTGCGCGCCGCTGGCCCCTCCCTGGGGTGGGGGTGACTGGGACGGCGAGCCCACAGAGGACCTTCCCACCGGTGCCCTGCTCTCCAACCCCTGCTCCAGGGAGCGACCAGCCTCCGCTCTGGTGAGTGGCAGGTTTAGGTGGCTACGGCCTTCTCTGCAGAGCACTGCCACGTCACGTCAAGCGGTGGGTAGGCTGTCTGGGCGCTTGTGGACACTGTGGGGGGTGGCCGTGCCACCCATGTTTGCATCCCTGCCTTCCTCCTTGGTTTCACCTGTGGCTGTTGACGTTCTGCTTTGACCCCTCGTGTCCTCCTGCTCTGCTCTTTGTGGTTGATCTTTGTCCCTTCTTTTTTTTTTCCCCTTCTTGTGTTCTGCTTTTACTTCTTGACAAAGCTGAGGACAGAGATGACTTGCTCACAGCTTTTTAGCTCTTGATGTGTTGATACAGTCTTTGAGCCTGTGCTGCTGAGACCTTGTGCAGGCTGGGTCATACCTGCGTGTCATGGAGCTAATCCTTTCCTTTTCCTGGCTCCATCCACTTTGGACTGAGGTTACGCCAATCCCTGGCTCCCTTCTTTGCTTCCCCTTCCCATACTGTCTTCTCCAGGCACCGCTTAACACATGGATATCTTGCATCTGCCATCTTCAGACTG